GCCCAGTGTCTGAGAGTCTGTAATGCCGAAATGCTGGCTGTTCCCTCTGGGGGTCGCTGTTGCCTGAAATGCTGGCTGCTCCCTCTGGGCGGCCCGTGCTGCATGGGGAGTGCGGGGCCCAAACGGCCGCTTGTGCCACTTGCTCCCATGCGGTGGCCTGGCTAAAAAGCACAGAAGTCAGCCGAGTACCATGGTGGGACAGTGATGTGCAGCATGACTGCGGCTCCAGGCCCAGCCCCCTGGCCGTGAAAGTCACCGCCCCGCCCCCCCTTAGACTCCCGCCATGGCACTCGGCTGACTTCTGCGCTGTTTAGCCAGGCTGCCATGTGGGAGCAAGCGGTACAAGCGACCGTTTGGGCTCCGCACCCACCATGGAGCACGGTCCCCCGAGTGAGAGGCAGGAGGGGGAGGAGAAGTGGAAGAGAGAGACACAGAGAGAGACAGGAGGCAGAGAAGAGCTGAGAGAGAGAGGGGGAGAGGCAGTAGGAGGAGGAGGAGGAGAGAGAGAGAGAGAGAGAGAGAGAGAGACGGACCAAGAGACCAGAGGCTCAGGAGAAAAGACCGACGTGGAGGAGAAACCTGAAAATCCAGTCTTATGATGGGCTAATTGGCTAGTTTAAAAATAGTTATTTCAAAATAGCACTAGTGTGGATGCTCCAGTGACACTATTTCAAAATAACTACTCCCCAGAGTAATTCAAATTAATTACTCCCCAGTGCTTCCTGAGGCTCAAAGTCGGGTAGCACATCCACATTAATGGAGCCTACCTTGGACTAATTTTGGGGTTTCCTCATAGTGGGGACATACTACTTTAATTCTGTAAAATCAGGAGTTATTAAGTCAAATTTAGTTATTTTGAAATAATTTCCTAGTGTAGACATGCCCTTAGAAATGTGGTCCCATTGGAATTTTCAGGTAATAGATGATATTTAGTAAAGGAAAGGTACATGGTATTATGAAAGATAATTAATACTTTCAATTTGGTTGGGGGGAGGGGGTTTTCTAAAAAAAGTATTTTGTTCAGCTGCTGGTAATAAATCCTTTATAAAGTTTTGGTGCTCTAGTTGAAGGTATTATTAAGAATCTGCAATTTTGAACCTACTACACTTAAAACTCACAAAGAATGTTGTGTGCTTTGGATTGGACTGCAGTGCACATTTCTGGATAACAGATTATGGTCACAGATGCTCATCCAAAGGTAAAGTTGTATAGAGTAAGGCCTGTCTCTTCTCTCACAAATTATATTCCCGAACTAAGCAAAGTTTCTCTGCTTCTGAAGTTCTATGCCTCCAGCCTGAATCCTACACATATTTCTCAGGGGACAGGCTTCTAGGAATCATTCTCTGTCCTGCAATGCTATTGATTCATTCCCTCCATTCCTTCATGCCCATTCCTTCATGCTCGAAGCCTTCTTGTTCTGGAGCTTCAGGGGGTAGCCGAGTTAGTCTGTTAGGCTGTGTCTAGACTACATGGCTCCATTGACGGAGCCATGTAGATGAGGGTTATAGGCAAAGGGAAATGAAGCGGCGATTTAAATAATCGCGGCTTCATTTAAATTTACATGGCTGCCGCGCTGAGTTGACAAATAGC